GTTAGTGTTCTAATTCAAAGCCGTGTTGTATCCCAATACAGCTCACACAGCAAACGGAATTCAAACACGTGGATGTCGGCAATACGTATCAGTTAAATTTGAAGCGCTGACGCAATACGACTCACCACGTGTCAGATGTTGCCACACAAAGTGACGGAATATAGGGATTTGGTAGGTTTCCATTCTAAAGGCTTTTTAATAAATATGGCAACATTTTGTGACGTTTCATCGTTGCTGACGCGTAGTGAAGTGTTTTGAGTCATGTGAAGGCAACAGAACTTACGTAACGCATACGTTTTTTTTTTTTAGTTTTTCATTTCTCGATGCGTCCTTAAAGTGTCGGAATATACCGCGTTTACCCTACCTAATTTTTCTGAAACTTCATTGAAGTCTGGCTTTATTCTTTCCCCTGTTTCACAGTAATAAATGAATTTATCCCAGGAAAACTTGATGGATAAGTTAGTTTTCATTGATGGCCTATTTAGATTTAAACTTTATCCTGCAATATTGCAAATTGACATGACTGTCTTGAAATTGGGCAGAATTTTATGACAATTGACTAAGTCTAATGTAGGTACTATGTAAAAACAAGCTTTTTAGTATAATATTTATTATTAAATACTATCAAATTAAAAAGTATACATTTTTTCCTTATAGGCTAGGCTGATTGATATTCAACACATTTCTAGCTACTTGTCCAATCAATCTGAAAATTTGCACACTTTCATAAAGTTAGTGTCTTAGTCAGAGATAATGCATGAATCAATTGACTAAAGGAATAAATTAAAAAATTTTAACTTTATGTTGAAATTTAAAATTTTAATATAACCCATGCCCCATGGGCCCCTGCCCCATGGGCCCCTGCCCCTCTGACTCTATGGGCCAATCCCAACTATCTTGAGAATTGTGGGAGTTTTGAAATTCAATAAAATGAAAAGTACACATTTGGATAAAAATTTCTTAGTTGCTTCCCATGGTCTGGAAGGTATGGCATGTATGCCGGAGGTTTATTTTGGTATGTACGCCAGTACACCATCAAGGAAAGTTGCCGATATGCTTGCTATAAAAAGGAAAGTTCAACTCTGACTGATGCCCAATGATTGACAGAATGACAGGGATACATGCACTATACAATTGATCATATATGTGGGCGATGCCTGATGGGCGACATGGTTGCACGCGCTCCATGATTGATGTGGACGATACCTAATGATTGACATGGACCGTGATGATGGCCGTATGCAATTTATGATCGATTTGGCTGATGTCTGATAAATGACACTGATGCACGTACTTAACGTTTAATTTGTACGATGTCTGATGATTGACACGGACACTGTGACACAAGCGACCCATGATCAATGTGGCAATGCCTGATGATCAACAGTGATGATGCATTTCACAATCAATTTGGATGATGCCTGGTCATTGATACGGATGCATGTGATTTTTAATAGATTTGGCAGATGTCTGATCACTGATGATCAACACTGATGCATGCACTGATCGTAAATTTACGATCGATGTGGCCGATGCCATATGATTTACATGGACACTCGCGCTTTACGATCAATGTGGCTGATGCCTGATGATTGGCATGGACACACATTCTATATGATTGATGTGGCCAATGCCTGATGATTGACACAAACTTGTGCGTATTATGATCAATTTAGCTGATGCCCAATGATAAACACTGAGGCACATCCATTATGATCAATGTGGCATAATATACAACACAACAATTGTTCACAACATGTAATAACAAAACACATGGTAACACTACATAACATGACATCACATTATAACCCATTTAATGTAACAAAACATATCATAATCAAGCATATTATAACACATCCTAACATAACCTAACACATTGTAACACAACATAACATAACAGAACACATTGTAACAATATAAGTTAACACCACACATTATAACATAACATATCCAAGCACATTATAACAAATCCTAACCTAACACACATTGCAGCACAACATAACATAGAACAACACAAATTACACCAGAATATATAACAGAACTCATTGTATTACAACTTATCCTAATAAAACACACTATAAGACATCATAACTCAACCTAACATAATACCACACATTGAAACACAACATAATATAATAGAATACATCATAAACATAAAAACAAATTATAACACAAGTTCACAACATAACACAGGACAACAGAACATAATATAACAAAATATATTGTTGCATTATAATATGTTGGGTTATATTTTGATGTGTTATAATATGTTATGTTATGTTATATGGGGCTATGTTATGATGTGTTATAATTTTTTGTGTTATGTGTGTTATAAAGTGCTGTGCTATGTTGTGCTGTGTCATAATTTTTTTGTTGTGCTATTTTGTGTGATGATATGTTGAGTTATTTTATATTGTGTTACAATTTGCTGTGTTATTTATTTTATGCTACAATGGTCATGCTATTAAGTGTTATGATGTGTTGTGTAATGTTATCATATATGGTGTTATAATGGGTCACAGCTTGCTGTATTATGTTCTGATATATTGTCGTCTAATATGTTTTGTTATGTTATTTTGTATTATAATGTGTTGAATAATGTAAAACCTAACATTACACATTATACATACATAACATATACATAATATACATAGTTACATACATAACAACAAGACCTCACACTATAAATACAACATAATATTGCAACACATTATGATGCAACAAAGCACATTATAATTCATTAAAATGCATCAGTATTAGTATTATTAAGCATTAGAATGCAATTAAACAAATTTCAATCATTAAAACATGCTAGTATGCATTAGCACACATTTGAACAGATTAGATAATATTAGAGCATATTATAACATACTACACCACATTATAACACAACAGAAACTATTAGAATGCATTAGATTTAGAACACAATGAAAACCATTGCAATGCATAAAAATGCACTAGATTGCATTACAATGCACAAGATTGCATCAGAATGCACTAGAATGTATTAGTATGCACTAAAATGGTCAAGATCACATAAAAATGCATTAGATGGGATTAGAATGCCCCTTATCACATTAGAACGCCTTTTATTGCATCAAATTTCAGTAAATATATTAGAATGCACAAGATTGCAGTAGAGCGCATCAGAATGCTGTTGAACAAATTAGAATGCACTAGATCAAAATAAAAGACACTAGAACACAATGTTATGCACAAGATTGCATTAGAACTAGTTAGAATGCACAAGATAGCATTAGAACGCAGTAGAGTGAAAGATATAGCATTAGAATGCACTAGATTGCATTAGAATGCACTAGATTGTGTTAGAATACACTAGATTCTTTCTCCATATCTACAATCAACCGGTTGGCTGTTAGGAAATCACTACCCAGAATGACATCAGGCTCCAGACAAGTCGGGTACAACCAAGAAAGACAAATTAATGCAAGTGACACCCCATCATTTAACCTGACAAGAAATCCTTCTCAAAGTGCAAGTGGTACCTCCCAATCCAATAACATCTTGGAGTTCATTGGTACATGGAACAACTTCAACTACACTAGTTCTTATGAGACTTGCAGTGGAACTGGAATCAACTAGTGCTGACAGATCTTTCTCGCCAATACAAACAGGAATTTTTATCAGAGACTCAAGTTTAAGCCTTGACAGGTTAATGGGGATCACAGAAGAATAAACTATTTCACTAGGTATATCATCTGAATTTATCTGGATGTCACTCAAGTATTCTCACTCTGGGACAATAGAAAGAGAGGATTAATACAAGACACAATTACTAAATAGTTTATATAGCAGCATGTGACCCTAGCAACATTATTACTGGTTGGAAAAAAATTGTGCAGATATGGATAAGAGATAGAAAATAGTGCAGATATGGGTATTTAAGAGATAGAAATACAAGTCATTTGGCTGCTTGTATATATTTTACAGACAGTAGTAAATGTCAGGCTTTACTCCAATATGGTATCTATATGAATTTCTAAGATGTTATTTGAAAATATTAGATTAGCCAACCTTAAAGAGCCACACCCATTTTTTTGCCAAATTTATTACCATGGAGATTAGGGCTGCTCCACAGGTTTTAAATCACTCTTAAATTTATGTTCAGTCTTCTTATGTCTTCTATCTTTTATTTACAGGAGTTGACATATATACAGATATATATGCAAATCTGTAGCAATTTTTAGGCAGACTTGGCTGGAAACCATCACTGATAATAATGGACAGTATATTTGTGTGCTTCCTTTGTGAAGCTGAGTACAAGGATGTGGATCTTCTCAACGAGCATATGAAAGAGCACGAAAATATGCCAGGTATGTATTTTTGTAACGGGATATTTAGGCTGTTGAACATTATCATTTGAGACCCATAAAATCGATACTTTTTGTTATAAACAGGAAAATTTTAGCATATACGATATCCATGTAAGCTTGAATCAAATAATTTTGTTTGCTAATTCTGATTATTGTGTTTGCAGCTTTTGTGCTTGATACAATTGAACAAGCTCACATTCTTATGCTTGACAGAAATGAGCTCAGGAATCTTGAAGAAAAGGCGCGGTCGTCCTCCCAAAGTCGTTGACGAATTTGACTCGAGTATGAAAACTTCTTTACCTCAACCAGTGCTGAAGAAGCCTAAGACTGAAAATCATGAACCATCCTCAGGGGCTATAAGTAGAGGAATGAAAACGTTTATGAGATCTCCAAAACCTCAAAACTCTGTCTCATCTTCCCACAGCCTGCCTAATATTGTGAATGGTAGTAAAGCCTCAACATCTTCTAATTCCATATCAGGCAGTACTCCCTTAGTATCTAGAACAACTTCCAAATGGGGTCAAGTTGTGAAAGAAGAAGTCTCCCCTCCTTCCAATGTCAATGCTCAGGCTCTCAGAATGCAGTGAGTGATTCTATTTTTTTAATACCATGTTTAAGTAGTTTGATAGTTAATTTTTTCAAGTCAATTTTTCTTATAATGGTCCAAAATCAACATTAAACTTAGGTACCACTGAATATACATAAATTATTTATTCAGGAATTGTTTGCAAATTATCACATTTCACTTATTATTGTTTCAATTTTGTTCCAGGAAAATGATTCTTGCCCGTGAAAAGCGCATGAAAGAACTGAGTTCAAAAGCTCCTACTCAGATGCTGGGAGGTAGGTCACTTTGTCATTGTTATCATTTTGGATTTTGCAATAAAATGGTAAATATAATGAATATTGTTCCAGAAAGTGGAAATAGCAGCTGCAGCAATGAACACACTATATTTTGCTTCACTCTCTCTGAGCATTTGGTTGAAATTATCATCTCTTATTCTATGTTCCATTAGCCCATTCAACAATTTAGTATATTCTCCACCTACCCATAGAAGAAAAAAAAAGTTGTTTCTCTCTAGTCTTCTTTTTATCAATATACAAGAAAGCTGCCTGCAGAAGTATGTCAAGAAGTCACTCTAATTATTTAAATTGTGACATCAATTAGGAAAATATAATGATTAATGAATGCTTCTTCTGAAACAGGGAATGATGGCAGCAGCAGTCCAGATCGTGAACTTGAGGAAGTGCAGCAGCTACTTGATGGCTCCCCCATGTTTACTTCCGACTCAATGAGCAGTCAGAGTGGTCCTGTTGTGCTCACGGCTGAGCCTGAGAACTTCTCAGTACCTTCCTTGAGTGTCCCTAAAAAACATAAGCTGAACATGAACAAGTGGAAAAAAAGTAAGCTTTAGATTTGGGACATGAATATGCAGTATGCTTGAGAAGTACTTAAGTTTGTTTGCAATCTAGGTGAAACTTTTTTTGTTGCCTTGTGCTGTTTCCACACTCATGAACCCTCTACCACCAGACATGAGTAACCGGAGCAAGATTGTCACAATCCTACTTCCCAAAAAGAATATGTTCTAGTGAGCGCAAAATGACTTGCACTGATGGTTGCTGCCATGTACAACAACTTTAAAATGTTCTCTGTTTCGTACAAACGTCCTCAGGTTGCTACACTCAATATTTACATATAATTTAAGTTGAAATTTATGTTCCCGGAGAGTGACATATGGCGGTAGAGGGTTAAATAGTTTTTATCACTCATTTTAATAATGCATTGTTATTAAATAATCTGGAGACCCTTTATTCTCTCCAAGGCTCAGATTATTTTGAAAATGAAGTAGATTCAATGCTGGACTCAAGCATGAGCATTGGCAGCAGCTCGAGCATGACTTCTTACTCCACTACCACCAATGCCTCGTCTGGGAAGAAAGAGAAACTCAGGTCAGTGTTGGCCAAATCTTTTGGCTTGAGTTGTACAAAATTTATTAATATATAAGAATTCCCAAAATCCCTTGCAAAATGTGGTTTCCTTGCCTAGAATGCTTCAATTTATTGAGTTTTAAAACTTATGTGGCATAAAAATTATGTGTTCCATCTTGAGTTAATGGCATATATTCAAGTTATGGCAGCTCTCAAGTGGCAAATATATTCAACATTCTGCATTACTGTATACAGAAAACTAAAAGTTTCTTGTTTATTTGTTACATATTGTAATATCTATGTAAGTATACCTAATTCTTTTAAACATGCAGTGCATTAAATCATCCGTTTATTTGATGTGACAATTGTGACGCGCCTTATTGACAATTAGCTAGAAATAGTCAATAAGGCGCATATTGACAAGGATTGTCTGAACACTGCAACTTGAGTACATGAGGGTTAAATTGGAATGCATAATATTGTATAAAATTACACTGGAAAATTAAGGTACATAATAATAGGAACATTTCATTGTTACAGAAATGAGGCGTGTAAATGAATTTTGAACTTGAAATTTATCCATTTTGCAAATCACTCGCAACTCTTAACCCAAAAATTGAATCAAATGGTTTGAAAATAAATATCTGATACTCTGTTCAAACTTTTTTTACTTTACTTGGAAATGTTGATGAGTTGCTCGATCATGTCAAGTGGTATGTATGGTGGCCTATTGCTGCTGTTAACCATACCGCAGGCAAACACACCTTGACGTAGTCCTTCAGCCTCCTTCACGACTGTATGGTGTTCATGATGGCTGGCGTGACGTAGCTCTCAGATTGTTGCTGTATCACCGCTACTGTTGACCCTAACCGTACGATGATTGTTGTGTGGTTCGCGTTACTTTAATGACTTTTTGACTTAATGGCCGCCCGTGTGACTACTTCTCGTGTTGTCTCACGGCAAAGTCACAGCCGATGTGTGGTATAGATTTGGCCACACATAAATGTAGCGAAGTCATGGTCGTTAATTGTTGATTGTCTAATGCCGGTGTCGTAGTTGCCGGTGTAATTGTAGTTGTCTAATGCCGGTGTCGATGAGTCTAAATTCCTTGCCACAGTAATGTTAGAAAACGGGTGAAGGGGCCGTGGCCGTCGCGACGTACCTACTACGTGGGGCTGCAGACTGCGATGGGTGATTCCTAAGAACTTTTTGGCGCGGACTTTGGTTCCTTGCATGTACAGATGCCCCGTATCCTCATTTCTAAGCCTGACGAAGACGCCGCGTCCCTCGCGATGTAAACATATCCGGTCTCACGGTCTCAAATATTCCTGTGTTCCACACACTACATCGTTTGAGCCCGCTACCTCACCCATCTAAACATCATCACTCTCTTTTAATAAAATTAATATCTTGAGGAGTTATTAATATGCCCTCGAACGACGCTATAAACAACCTTTTATGATATTGATGAATGTGTGTGTACTGTACAGAGTTCGGCTGGTGGTGGCTGAGGTTGAGTATGAAATGCTAGCATCAGACGATGAAGACGACGGCCCTGTACTAGTGTACGGCAAGCGAGCCACGCCTCTCCCCGATAACGTGCTCGATGTGCTCGGTGTTAAGAAAGACGGCGTGGCCCAGACACGCATCAAAGTAAGTAATGCATCTTGCATATTGCTTAGGTAGAGATATGATTGAAGTATTGATTAGGACCCAGTTTGACCTGAAATTGATCGATGTAGATTTAGTCTCCAAAATTTTATAGTTTCTGTAGAAGTTCTTGATGCTACATGTTAGCAGAAGTCAGTCACGTTAAAAAAAATGTTATGGTCCTTCCTCCCTGCTTGAATCATGCTGTTCTAAGTCGGCAATGATTGAAATAGCTTTTTATTTTGTATATTCTCATTTCTGAAGGTGAAGGTTTATTATTCGTTTGAACCCAGTATTGTGATCCTTTGTTAGGATTAATAGTTACTGTCAGGGTTACGCCTTGACGTTAGTTTGTGTTCATTGTGTTGTGGTGTTGAAAGTGTCAATTAAGAGTATTGTTGGTTTAATGTCAATCAAGAGTGCTGTTGTTTTGACTTGTTTTATGAAACTCCTCGTTTACGTTCATCAGAAATACAGAGATCTCGTTAAGGTGAGCAACTCTACCGTGTATTCTGTCTCAAATATTCGTGGCCGCCTAACTGAGGGCGTCAAAATTACTGATATATCTCAATTTGTTGTTACTGATCATGTGTTGGATTTTGTTGACGATATTTCTGGTGTCTTGAATATTAAAAAATTAGCTCTGTTATGAGACTAGATCCAACTGCTAGCGCTTCCTCAATACCAACACCCTTAATGTACAGTTTTCAAGTCTTCATAATTTTGACACACTACTACTAAAATTAAGCACTAAGAAATAGGATCAATTTTCTTTGCTTTCAATTATTAATGCAACTTCATGCTAATTATATTAAACCCATATTGATATTGTTGTCTATAATGGTGAGTTATTAATTGTCTAAAGCTCAGTGACATGGTATAGTAATTCTCAGTGTCGCGCTGGTGTTGAGCGTGAATATTTGCCAAGACGATAAGTATCAGGCGTGTAATGCCAGGCTCTACTGACGCAGGTGCAGCGCGGCGACTACGAGATTCTCTACAGCAAATCCTCCAAGCCAGGCCGCCGTTCTGCTCCTCGAGGACAAGAGCCTGAGAGCGTCTACGAGTGTGATGAATGTGGCAAGTCATTCAGGTGCGTTCTGGTCTCTGTGTGATGAATGTGGCAAGACATTCAGGTGCGTTCTGGTCTCTGTGTGATGAATGTGGCAAGTCATTCAGGTGCGTTCTGGTCTCTGTGTGATGAATGTGGCAAGACATTCAGGTTCCCTTTATTGATGCTATTAGATGAGGCAGGTATTGAGTACTGAGCAGTGGGTTCATGTAATGTATGGTCCTACAACGTTTCTTTCGTAATCATCTAAAATTCAGGCGAAATTAGCATAACAAATAGTGCACGTATAAAATTTTCCGATTTTGTAGCCCAATTTTCTAAATTTGGTTGATACTTATCCGAATAATTCATGCATACCATATTTCAAGGCTTATTACCCATACGTGTTGCAATATATAAAAAATTTGATACATTCTAGCAAAAAAGACTTGCAGGAAGCCTCATGTGGTAACATCATGCTGGGGCTTGAAGCGGACTTGATCTGATTTGCTGTTTTAGTGGATGTAGTGGATGGTGTGATCACGTTTTGGTGTTCTGCAGGTCCAACTCAACACTGAAGGTTCACCTCAAGTCTCATACTGAAGTGAAGGCTCTGCCGTGCCCGCACTGTGAACAGGTTTGTATTCCAGAGATTTTATTTGTGTATTGACCTCCTTGTTTTTAGATCAATTCAAGTTTCTTTTTCACGAGATTGTCGACGTTTCAAATTTCAATTCTGATGAATTAATGTTTGCCGAAAACAAATGGAAATATATTATTCATTACAAATATATTTCTTGATATTGAATTTACCGAATTGTCAACAATGAAATAATACCTATTTGACTACAATATTCTAAATTGGACCATTATAATTATTTGGTTTTGGTGCCTTTTGTGTACAGGTGTTCCCTCAGCGTCACATCCTGCAGCAGCACCTCATAGACGAGCATCCCTCCTACAACCTCATCTGTCACTACTGCAAGAAAGTGAGGGCATTCCTTCTAAAATATTATGTTTTGTGCTCGTTCATTTGGCCAATTCACGTCGAGAATAATGGTAAAGATAGTACCAAGAAAGTTTTGCATGTTCGAAAGAAAAATATTCGGAGGGTATCTTCATAATCATTTTTGGAGAATCAAAAAGTGAATAAACTATAGCTGCAGCGAAAATTGGATGGTTAGATGTTGAAAATGCAAAATGAATGAAAAATTATAGAAAGTGTAACGTTTCAGTCTGTGCTTTCATATGTTCTTCATACCAATGTATTGCGACATGATCTTTATTTTTCAATGAGTAGTAATGCGGTGTTATACACTGCCTTAGCTCAGCCATAACATCTGTAGATCTTCGGCGCTGAACACACACTTTGCACGTTATATCATGCACTGGAACCATCTCACCAGGTGTCCACACGGGAAGACACGCTACAACCAAACCTTACCTACTCCATGTTCCACCAGGTGTTCACACGGGAAGACACGCTACAACCAAACCTTACCTACTCCATGTTCCGCCAGGTGTTCACACGGGAAGACACGCTACAACCAAACCTTACCTACTCCATGTTCCGCCAGGTGTTCACACGGGAAGACACGCTACAAGCAAACATTACCTACTCCATGTTCCACCAGGTGTTCACACGGGAAGACACGCTGCGCTCTCACTTGGTGCGCATGCATGAGACCGACGGAGGCCTCAACTGCAACGTCTGTGGCAAGAACTTCCCAAGCCAGGGCCAGCTGGAAGCCCACGTTAGAGTGCACACTGGCGAACGTCCTTTTAGGCGAGTTTCCGCCCAAATTATTCGCCAAAGCTGCTCATATATTGTGTAGTTTCACCCTAGCGTTTTAAGTTTTAACTATTATCTAATATTAGCTGGGTTCTGGTTGTACGTTATAATTTTGTGAAGTTTTACCCGAGTACAAATAGGTGTTTCGCTTGCGCGCCTTAGAACTAACGTCTAGCTCCTTTAATTCAACTGAACGCTGCGGTCTAGTTTATTTATTATACATTGAGAACAACAGTAAATGCTACACGATACTTGTAGATTTATTTTGATGCATCAATTTCTTAAATCACTACTGGTGACGGAGATGTTCTAGGTAGCACGCATTCGGTGGCCGCGTCATTTACATTGCATTAGAATCTTCAAACTGCGCGACGGCGGCTGTCGACCTGAACGGTCTAGTTCAGAGAGAGCTGTCTGTACTGTAAGTACGTTTTTGTACCTACTAGTCAAAACAGTAAGGTTTTTGTACCTACTAGTCAAAACAGTAAGGTTTTTGTACCTACTAGTCAAAACAGTAAGGTTTTTGTACCTACTAGTCAATACAGTAAGGTTTTGGTACCTGCTAGTCTGCCAGTAGCTACGGTGACGTTTATGCTGACCGTTATTACGGGGTGCAGTATTTGGTGCAATACAAAATGTCTTTTTTGTTTGCCGCTTTCAACGTGTGAACACTCATTTATTTGATGGAGGATAATAAACTCTATATTATCTTGATTACAAGTTTAACAGATGTGATACCAATAAACTATTTTAAGTTTAAGCTACTCTGATTATAACCCTTTGCTATTGAAGCGACAAGCGTCTTCAAAGGAGGCATTGCTATAACTAAGCTAATTATTGCTCAGCAGCCTAAGCTAATTAGAATTAGTTAACTTGCTAGGCTTAATAATAAGCTAAGCTTATAACTAAGGCATTGGTATAACTAGACTAGCATAGCCGCCTGAAAGTTCATATTCGTCCCGCTGCTTGAGCTGTCAATGCGCGATCGCATCCTGGCCCAGAGCAGTGGTTGGTAGACAGTGTGAGAGTTTGTATTTAATTTTATTCTAATGAGAACTAGTAAAGAACTCGAGCACAGTGATGAAATTTATTCTCTCAAAATCGCTAGCTATTAAGCTAGGAAATTCACTCGCCAAGCTTCCTCTTACAGTGTATTAAATTTCTGATCGGAATGAAATGCTCATGTTTTACCAAAACGGTTCTATTTAGATACTATAAGTTTTACGTTTTATTCATTATACGTAATAAGTTATATTTGGATATTAAGTTACATTATTCATTTCGGTGCTTGAAGTAGCAAGTCAACACAAACAATTATGCAAATATGCCAAGACTGAAATAGTTTGACGAACATGCTTCGGAATCCAGCTCTACTATGTGCTCGTTCCTGAAACATGAAACACGCTCAACAAAATTGTTTCAAATCTAAAATTGTAGTATCTGCCATATATTTTTCACTTGCTGCATAGCTGCTGAACTCTTCCCCTCTCAGCGTATGTTTTTATGTTTAAATTTCGACTTTTGCCTCGTACAGATGTCAGCTGTGCAGCCGAGCGTTCGTGCAGAAGGTTCACCTCAAGACGCACCTGCGGACGATGCACCAAACGCTGGACGCGCCCACCACGCCCTGCCGCCTCTGTGACGCTATGGTCGAGGACCGCATCGCTCTCAGGGACCACGTCACTGTGAGATCACCAACGCAAACTTTCTATGAGATTATTATTGCTGTTATATTATCGCGTCCTTCAGTTGTGCACTGAATCAAAGTTTTAATTTGAGTAAAAATTTTAAAAAGTGCGAGAGAACACCTTATAAATAGCTTGTTAGAATATCGGATTATAATTTTGTTTTCGTACATTATATTTGTAATTACGTTTTCCAAGCAATTTTCTTTTTGATTTTTTTCACCATTTACTTTAATATTTTACACCGTTATTAAAATGACTCGCAATAAAAAGTTTGAATCTTCGTTTTCAATGATCAAGTTTACTAGAAATTATTAAAGCAATCTAGTGACATTATTGCTTGATCAAGTTTTTTAATTTAAATGTCTGTCATCTATTGTCTGTTGTTATCCAACCCCCCTTAGGCTGCCCACGGTCTCTCTCATGCTGGCTACAAGACTCAAGTCGCAGAGCTTCGAAAGATGGGCAAAATTCCCGAGGTGGTACCTCCTAAAGTGAAGGTCGTCGATCCTTCGTTCCGGTACAAAAAGGTACATTTTCGTTGGAGATGGAGACTAGAAATCTTTGTTGATGATGTGAGTTCTGCGCTCCGGTTTCATGCTAGCTTTTTGTTACACAAAACAATAGTTAATACAAAGTCTGACGGTTTGCCTCGTTGTAATTTGGAACATCTCATGTTCTCAAATTTGTGTTATATTTTGAGTTGAAAGCACGTGGTTGTGCTTCAGGTGAGCGTCGAGGACCTCGAGGCCATGGAGAAGAAGGGTGCAGGCAGCTCTCGAAGTCGGGCGGTCGCAGCGCGTCGTTCTTACATGGACGATGACGAAGAAGATGAAGACGAGGAAGACGAAGAAGAAGAGGACGATGAGGACGCTGAATTTGAGGCGTATGAGAAACGCATCGCCGTTGGGCGGCCTCGGGACAAGGAGGAACTCAGCTTCGTTGAGTCGGCTTTTAAGGTGAATATCCGGAACATTTTTTTTTGTAAAGGTTTCTTCGTCATTAAAGTTCGATTTGCTTTGTGCTTCACAGCAAGGTTGATAATATATAAAACATTCATTGGTTCACCGTCCTACCATAATCTACATCCAGTTTTTTATGAACGATTAAACGTCATGATATCCGGTATTATACACCGTGTTGAAAGTTATGTTGGAAAGACACAGTGATGAGAATCTTTGGAATGCATCGTAGATGTTGCTCTTAAGCATGTTATATGTCATTATTATTTGTTTCTCAAAGGATTTTTGCCTGTTTTTTTTTTGCAGGTGGCCGAGGAGATGGATCAGCAGGTTGGTGTCACTCGCATCCAGAAAATAACGCCAGTGCAGTACTTCAGTAGCAGCAGCAGCACAAACAGCAACAGCAACAGTTGTGATATACCTGCCACCAGCGCCGCCGCTTGCTCCATGTCTGATGCAAGTTTGACCTTCGTCAGCACCGCGCAAAGTGTCAGCAATAATGGCTCCGCTGACATTCAGCCGGACGAAGGCGTTGTCATGTTCTCCATGTGAGCCAGGTCTGCCCCATAATCACGAGCCTCCTTTTGAACCTGAATCTCGCGGCTGAACGTTGCGTGCATTCATTTACGTTAAATATGTACACCGAGTATCGCGTGGTTATTGTGGATGTCTTTGTGCTCTCTTTAAAATTCGTGCCTATTAAAAGTTGTGCACAAAGTTCCAGATGACGTTCTGAAATTTAAATAATTATGGAGCTGGTAAATCTTGATATAGTACTAGAACTAATCTAGATGATAGCTTACTTGTAATGTAAATAATACTTGATCTTAGTAGAGATAACTAATTTATTTTCACTTCATGCCTCGAATTGAAATTAGAGACTCCAAAGTGCGACATGATTTTGCTCGATGGCGGATGATCTGAGAATTGTATTGTTCATATCAGGTTAAATTTAAATGAAGCTCCTTAAAGGTAAAATATCAAAACGAATTATAAGTTTCAACTTTAATAACTCAGCAGGTGCTCATGATAAAAAGGCTGTACTGCGACTACTGCCTCAGCAATGTGAGTTTTTCTTGGGCCAAGCTGTAGCTTTGACGTATATAGCTGGAATTTCCTTGAAATATTTAGTTGACGATTTCTTAATATTCGTTTCGCGTTATTTTACAATTGAATTTTTGTTGAGCGAATATTCTCGTCCGTGGTCCCTATCAATAGCTGCGAGTTTTTCACTTCAATTGGATGATGTCACACTCAACTCGAAATGAATGCTCGCTGTGTAGTGGTTCAGCTTCACGATCTGGTGATAACTCGAGTTTAATTGGTTGAAAGATATGCGGTATTTAAAGCCAGATAATTGCAAGAGCTTAGCCAGAGTTACCACATTTAGAAATTACGTGTGGGATGCATAAAGCTTTTAGTGTTATTATTTTTTTATTGTTGTAGTGTTTTAGGTCAGATTATCACGTTTGTGTCAGCATCAGTATAAACAATTAAATTTTCTATTTATGATGACAAGATAATGGCCGATGACGTGGCTTCTGACAACTGCTATGTATATATGCTTTTATCTATATCATAATGTCGTTTAAGTTTTAAGAGCACACATCACCTACAATTCCATCTTTCAATTATCGTCTGTGCATTGCAGTACAATGCCGGCATCTGTCGAGTACATTATTATTTATTCTATGTTTTTGTAATCTTCTGAAAACTAGTTCCAGTCGGACGGTTACAAATGAAAAAAGAGACAAGGAAATGCGTATAGTTGAGAAATGGTTTGAAAAATTGTTATCTAATGGATTTTGGTTTGTGGTATATTCGATCTGAAGATTACATGTGTATTTGTATAATTTCTGGTAGTTGGATGAACAGAACAGGAATATCATTTAAATTATTCCTGGCGGGCCTGTAAAATGATTATGTAAGGTTGCAATTCACCATCTATTCATAAGATGTTATAATTTTCAAGTTCCAATTTGCCCCGTTTACTATTGGTTTGGTCACGTAAACATTATGTTGGCTACAAGGGCTTTAATGTTCATTGAGCTGCTGCCTTTATTAACAATTCTCTGCGTCGCTCGCTGTTTTTATCGCTATTTATAATTTTGTTTCAACCTTTCACATATGAACAAAAGTGACTCTAGATTTACCATGTATTTTAGGACTATTTTAATAACTCTACTGCTATAGTCTTACTAGATTATTTCGTTTCTGAATATTCTTAGGTTAGTAGTGTATCTCAAAATATATGTCCCTCTATGTTGCAGCGTCAAAAACACGTAGATGTTAATGCACAGAAGCAGGTCCAAGTTCATTTTTATAATTAATGTTTGAGACTGCAGAACTGAAGTTATCTCTACCCTAGCACATTCTTAACAGAATGTGCGCTAACTAAGTCGAATTCATAGAGTGAAACATTGAGCACTTTTCCCTCTGTTGACTTAGCTAGTCGCAGTATCACAGTCGACATTTTGAGCAACATGATGTCACCAGCTAAGTAACTTGAAGCTTAACCGTCGATATCTGACATTGCATGATGCACCAGCAGTTCATTGCTTTTAATTTTTATGACGTGGTTCTGTTGTGTTGGCTAGAACCTATTACGGTGTTGGAGTTTCTTTCCCACTACGTCACTAGGTGGTCTAGTTCAAAATTCTGACGCGTGATTATATTTAGGTGGATCCTCAGCTGTCTGTTCAGCTAATCATTAAATGGGCTGAGCCACAAGAGATCGTCAACGGGAGTTAGGAAGAGCCTTTTAGGAAGGTCGTTTTTAGCAGGTCTTGTGACTGATGTTTGGCAAAATATCATCGGGCGATGTGACGACGATAAGTTTGATCAAGAACGGTCGTAAAGTATGGTTTATTTACACTAGATTTGCTATTGCTTAACGGTCTGTTCGTCTTCTCATCAAAAACTCGTCATTAGTTTTCATCGCAATCGGGACGGTGCCTAGATTAGCCAATTACTCTTCACTCTCTAAATTTCCTTTTTATGATGGACCCAAGTCATCGGGTTAGTCCTAGATGCAAGCCTCTGTTGGGTGTCTCGCCTCCGGCAGTTCACTTAGACTTGCTTGCACGGCTGCTTTTTATAAAAATGCTTATGTTGCTTTTCTTGTGGCGCCGTGCGCCGTGCGGTGCACCTTGCCACGAGTGTAACCCGCGCTGATCCGGACTAAGTTCGTCTACGGCTTCATTGGTCACCCCGACACAGCTGCTCGGTGAGCTCTGTCTAAAAAGCGTTACCCGACAAATTGCGGCTTTCTGTTCCTCGCATGTCTTCAGGCAGGGTGGCCCAGTAATTACAGTTAAGTGTACCCAGATTGGCGCAGAGAGGCGCGGGTTCGATCCCAGCTCTGTGCGCCAGTTTCTGGTCAGAGCCGGCAAGGAGGCCGGGCGGTTAAGCAATAGCAGAATTTGAAGCAATGAGTTGTGGGTTCGAGAACACAAAAAGCTGTGGATGTTCTGCAATGTTAAGAATCGGCGACAGGCCTACTAGTAATAAACGCTGAAACCGCTACATGCAGGGAGCCGAGTCCTCACTAGGTACGAGCGGAGGTTTCCTCGCACTGCTGTACTTGGCAGTAGCTCAACTGCTTCTTGACCTTCTGCCCTCCCGCTCCAAGAATTGTGCATAACTAGCCCAAGAGTTTCTGCAAGCTAAGTGTCCCAATAACTTTGTGATTGACTAGATCGAACGGAGATAATGTAAAATTACAAACTAGCATCTCTGGCAGCGATTTCCCGTTATTGTAATACACCATCAGTATACTCTGCGGTACTCAGCCGAGAGGCCAAGCAACACCTTACACGTACCACTATACTCAAAATATTGCACATGATGAATACAATTGCTAAACAATCTCCGTTGTTCAAACCATGGTTGAAATTAATTCAACCATGGTTCAAACCACGTTTCACTTTTCCTCGTGAAAGTATTGCGTCTTCTTGCAAAATTCTTGGAGTATTAGAATATTTTAAACTGTTGAACTTTTAGGCCACACAAACATAATTCAGTAATTTAACTAAATGCATATCAATTACAGAATTTACTTGCGCAGCAAGTTAGACCAATATAGTTTAAGTCCATGAAAATAGACGTATATAAATGACATCATCAAGGAATAATAATGAAAAAATGTAGACACTCTTCTCAAAAGTATCGTCAATAATTCAATGAACTCTTTAATTTTCATACTGTAATTTATAAAAATAAATCAATTAACATTTTGTTTGCTCATTCCTTTTTTTCTTTCGGGGATTTTTTTTATCTTCATCGTACAGTATATTTCATCGACTAATAAAAAGAATATGTTTTGAAAAGAGTCTACTGTTATCATAAGTTCAATGCAGATGATATTTCAGTTTTTTATAAAACATCATGAGCATGACGGAGTGTACGAGTTACGACCAGTCCTGTATACGCACACGAGTATACGGTCGTGGGTCTCATAGCGTGATGTTCACCGTGCTTGTCATGGTTGAACTATTAGTTCAACCATGGTGCTTGTCAGTTGTCATTGCGCATTACCGGAACGGAACTTACGGAAGGTCTATTTTTGCGACTTCGCCACTCCGTAGTCCGTAATGATTTGGAAGTAGGTATGCATATAAATTTTTAGTGTGAATTAAATTATTAAATGAGCTAGGATTGCGGTTGAAGCTAGCGACGACATTGGATGTGTCAGTGTGTAAGTCGTTCTGCCTATTCTTCCACGTTTGACGACATATATATGATTCATATAAATTTTCACAAATTGTTGATAGTAGGTAGTTATGAATTTATGATCAGCAAAAGTATAGGCTACACGCTACAACATCAAAAATGCCTATGCCCAACGCTAAACGCAGGAAAAAAGCAGTGTTCTTGTATCTAATGATATTACAAGACTAACAAGAGGTCAGAGAGGATGAAGCTTGAAATTTGAATATCATCCGATGATATCATTGATATGACTGCTTACTCACTGCTCTAAACCAATTCTGCATCCAATCCCTGCACTGCAGGCTTTTCTGCAGCCACGGCTGAATTGCTATTACGGTAATCCGGGTAATAACTAATACCTCTTAGGTAGCAATACCCATTACCCACCTGCGCCTGCCAGCAGCCACCTGGCCAGGCCTGGCCACCCAGGGCTAGAAAAAACCTATTTATTTTCTTTAAGCTCTAATACGTAATACCTAGGGTAAACGCGGTATATTCCGACACTTTAAGGGCGCATCGAGAAATGAAAAACTATAAAAAAAACCGTATGCGTTACGTAAGTTCTGTTGCCTTCACATGACTCTCAAAACACTTCACTACGCGTCAGCAACGATGAAACGTCACAAAATGTTGCCATATTTATTAAAAAACCTTTAGAATGGAAACCTACCAAATCCCTATATTCCGTCACTTTGTGTGGCAACATCCGACACGCATAGTGACAAAGGAGAACGTCTCTTTATTTTGAGGTCAACAAATGTTTTCTGAACGCGAGAATTAAGACTATGCTCTTTCGCAAAAATTTTTGAACGCAAATTTTAAATGGCAATTGTGCAACAACATTAAATAATCTTATCACTTTCAACATTGTCAGACCAAGAACGATTCTGATTACCGACATTCGGAGGGCTGACGCATGTCAACTAATCTTCATCAAATGCGGCTTGAGAGAGGTTTAACACCTAGATACTCACCCGACCAGAGCAGGATGTGCACTGGCCACTGAGACCCATGTACAGCTAGCAGCAGCTAGCCCTGTGGACAAGACATGCTGCGCACGCACACGTTTGTACGCACACGCTCGTATGCACACGTTCGTCTTCTAGCTTTGAACGTCAAGTTTCAAGGCTTTAATCAGTTAATTCTGAACGTTTCTGGACAAGATTTGTGACCTGCTTTTCTAAACGCAGAAAAATAACACAATTTCTCGCTCCAAGAAGCAATGGAAAAAATTATGTGACAGAAAATTTCTTACCCTTTACGATGAGCTAAGAATTTTGTTGTTTTTCATAACTGTTATCGACAATTTTACGAAAACGTCAACATTTTTTAGGTAAGAATTGTTTGTCTCAGGAGGCTGAGCCAGCACATTTTTGTTTCTCTTGCAGCGTGGCGGTGGAGCTTCTGCATGATCTGCGTAGAGACGCAAACAGCTTTCAAAAATGTCGTTTCAGAATTTTATTCACGGTATAGTTTGAACGTTATATACATTGATTCAGCATAGAAACATACTGCAACTTCCAACAATAGCTTAGGTATTCATTTAAGCATTATCTATAATATTGTCTATCCAAAAATATGCTGTCGAGCAATTTCGTTTTTTCAGCATATTATATAATGATAATGGGTTAACAGATTCATTACACACTGTCATCATAATTATCATATATTTACCATAATTTTTTATGCACAATTCTCATCATTTCTTTGTTCACAAACGCTCGATTTTTATCGTATTCGCTCATCCTCCATTGTTCCAACGTTCTGCAGTGCCCCTAATTAACACATTCCCCGTTATTCCTTTACTCCCACATTCTCTGTTCCCTGACACATGGTCCCCGCTATTTCCTTACTCACATATTCTCCGTTATGCCTTCAATCGAATATTCTCTCTTATTCCTTTACCCGCATATTCTCTGTTATGCCTTTAATCGAATATTCTCTGTTATTCCGTTACCCGGATGGCCGGATATTCTCTGTTATACATTTAATCACATATTCTTTTGGTCTTTTCATAAATTTTTTGCACTTATTCCTGTCGATTTCATTACTATACTAAATCTGGCTGCCTATTATACTAGTACTATACTATATACTATACTATTTGGCCGCCTATATACTTTTACATAGCAGGTCATATTTATTTAAATTTAAATAAATGACGTTAATTTGGCAGTCCCATTCATTCGTTCATAAGAATACGGTGGATACTCCATAATCGAAGAAAAATGGCCCCAACGGTTGAGCGCACGCACATGAGGGCCTTGGAAAAAGTTTTTATATGTTGAGAACATGTAACGTCATTTGAGAACGTATTAAAAATAAAAGGAGATTAAAAAGTTTCAGTTATAGTCCACCCTCAACCAGCCTTGTATAGCTGACTGGAAGGCAGGTAGCGATGTTGCTGCCACTATATCGGCACTCAGGGAGTTCCATATTCTGATGGCCGAGGTGGACGTCAGTTCTGCTGCGTGGGACCTGCAACTTCTGTTGGTGCCCCTTGTTGCGTGTGTGACTGATTGGCACAATCCTGAAGGAGGTTGGACAGCGACTAGGCAATGCAGCATTTTGTACAGCGTGCATGCTCTGTCTGCCGTTCTCCTTAGATTAAGCTTTTCCAGCTCAAGTCTGGCT